AGAAAAAGATGATGAAAAAGACCAGGATGTAAATCAGGAAACACAGCTGATGATGATGGAATGGGCAAAGGAGGTGCAAAGAGTGACCGAAGTAAGATATCCACAACCTAAGACTACCCTGTAACCAATGATAAGGTTTATCTGTTACTAATCCCAGCTGAACTGAATTCGGACAACGTGACATAAAGTAAAAATCATCTTTTTTTACACCCGAGCTTTTGTGTTGAAGAATAAAAATTGTATCTAATTCTTGGACTTTGACAGAGTTGTGGTGTGCCGAGTGAGGATCTGCTGTTTCTGCTTGGCCTGAAGAAGAAGCGACTCGTTGGCCTGCTCCCTCTGCTGGAGTTCATCACCTGGTCACTGCTGAAGGAAGACAAGATGGTGAGCAGCTCAAGGCACAGTGTAGAACCTGATCTGAATTCTTCTTCTTTAGGGGATGTTAGCAGCCAGTGTTCAAATCCACATCTAAGACAAAGTCACCAAAGAAAACAGGTTTGTTGAGTTGAGTTACAAGAGCAGGGGTGAGAATCTGAAGATACAAAGAAAAGAATGTTTTAGACAAATTAAAAGTCTATTCCCTGTGATATTTTGTCTAAGTCCTAGTCAAGTATGGAAAGAATTAAGAAAAAAAAAACAACAACAATTTATTAATTTGAGTCTGTCTTCCTTTTCCGTTTTAGAAGAAAATCCCACAAGTATGGTTACAGGCAAAGCAAAGAACCTGGAAACCTGGAATTCCAAGATGCATTCCAAACTCAGGTGTGTAATCGTATAGTTTGTAAAACTATCAGAGTTCAGTAAGATAAGACCACATTACTGGGGTCAAATGCTTTTGTGACAAAGCTCTTGATCTGTTCTTGTAAATACTGTGTGCTCCTTTGTTTGCAGTGTGGACTTGGATTTGCAGTGAAAAGGGTTAGGGATCAGAATGAACCTTTTCACACATTTCTAACCCTACATACATACATACATAGATAGATGCATACGAAGTATTTACACAAACGTTCTCACTTGTTCCTTATTCCTCAAAGCTGATGTGATGCTCGACCCCTCCACCAACCACCTGTGGCTACAGCTGTCAGACGACCATCAAAAAGTCCAGGAAGGCCTTTGTGAATCTGTCCTGCCGTACAACTCCCAGCGCTTCGATGGTTGGCCCTGTGTGCTAGGCTGGGAGGGTTATGACAGGGGGCGCCACTTCTGGGAGGTGGACATAACCAATAAAGGCCATTGGCGCATTGGGGTGACCACGGCAGACTCAAAACGGCACGGTCGCTTTCCCATGACGCCAAAGCAGAACTATTGGGTCCTGTGGCGTAGCACGCATCATTTCTACGCCTGCACTCAGCCAGAGACAGAGCTACCGGTCAGCCTCGTCCCAACATGTTTGGGTGTCTACTTAGACTACGAAGAAGGTCAGATCTCATTTTAGTGAGAATGCAGAGACAAAAAACCACATCTACACCTTCAATGGAACCTTCAAAGAGAAGCTGTACCCTCTGTTCGCTCCGCTTGACGGCCGCACAATCCTCACAGTCTCACCACTCAAAATCACAGCACTCTAAAAAGAAAAAGGTGAACATTTTTCAGATGCATTCTTTTTGATTTTGGTGTGTGAAATTGTGTGCCATCTACTGGTTAAAATTCAGGAGAGAGGACTTCTTCACTCATCTCTCTGCAATCTGTTCCTTCTTCTTCTAGGCTGGTTTATGTGCTTTGTTTAAGCGCACGACACATTTGTGTTTGATGTGTGCTGATGATGCGGGCCGATAAGCATTTCTTTAAAGCTTAGTAAATATTACACTCTGGACCTTTTGAAGAAAATCAACAGTAAACATTCACAAGCACCAAATATTAATTTTAATTAATTATAAATTGCACTGTATAAATGTCTTTTTTTTTCATTTTGCACTAGATGTTAAACCTCTTTAGTCAAAACCATCACAAAGACATTCGGCTCTTACACAAATAAAACGTATTTTCTTACCCCGTCTCCATTCATTTATTTTTGTACCACATATCTCCATATAAAGACATTAAACAAGTTCTTTGGCACAGTGTAATTAACGTCACAAACACAGTCTTCAGTTCAAGAAAATGAGCTTCAATGCCAAAACAAAAAGCATAATTCTATCTTTTCGGCATACACAGATAAGTATGAAAAATGTGTGTTGTGTGTTTTCATGCAGTTTGTCAAAACTCCTTCGTACAAACCCATGGTCCGTACATGTCACAGTCTGCAGCAAAGAGACTGCTGTTACCACGGAGGTCTGCACAGTCTCTATGATCAGAGTCCCACTCTACTGACAACCTGCACAACACACACGCACGCACACACACACACACACAGAGAGAGAGAGAGTATAACTGTCATTATACATTATACAGTATGTATACTATGTATAAGTATACAGGCAAAACGTACTAGTAATATAAGAATACAGTAATATTGCATTTATCAATTACCAATAAAAAGAAAATAATACAGTTAAAAATAACCATGTGTTTTTCTGATGATTGATGAGAATGTGGCTTTGCTAGCAGGAAGAAAAGGTTGTACATAGTATTCCTTTGTCATTGGCCAAATGATGGGCCACACAACCTATTTCACATGGTCTAAATGTAGCACTGACTGTAGGGCTTAGTTGTATAAACTGGCCCACTAAACTCCTCTAGTGGGCATTATCTGAACTTCAGTTCCAAAAAGGTAAAATCCTGTGTGCTCCGTCAGTAGTTAGCAGCCTACCTGTGATATTTAGTAGTCCACACTTAGTATTGTAAGCCCTAGGTAGTTTTTAGTGGTAACTAGTGTTTATGTATTGAGCAACAGGATGAATTTTATGGACCCACATCTGGTGCTTAGTGCTCCACGTGTGGTAAGAAGCAGCTCTCACTTAGTGTTTCATGACTTATATCAGGTATGAAGCAACGCATGTCCAGCGTTCAGTGGCCCGGGCCTCTTTTTAGCACACATGTACTGTGGACCATATCTAGCATCCAGTATTGGACATTTTGTGGGCAATATGTTGGGTTCAGTGGACCACAGCTGCTATTAGGTAGACCAGTGTTTCCCAACCGCTTTTGAGCCACGGCACATATCGTCAGAAAAAGCCCCACGGCACATCACCAAACAAAAATCTCACAAAATGTAGCTGGAATAAAATATAATAATCTTCTAGATTAAATGACCTCATCATTGACTAAAATCTCAGCCTGTTTAGTTGAAAACAACGCTGATGTACTGGCAGGAATTGAAGAAAAACACTCACAAAAATCTTCAACAGCTTTGATTATCTTTTTTTTGTTTGTTTGTTTTTATAGCCATCTGCTGCCACCTAGCAGAAGAGGATTTAATTGTTCTGCCTTCCGTGCTTTGACCAGCAAAGGAAAATTATATGCAATAAATAAATGATGATGATTTTCAGACCAATTAAGTGAAATTGAACGGCACACTAGTGTGCCACGGCACAGTGGTTGGGAATCACTGAGGTAGATCATATCTGGAAATAGTCCACAGACTCAAACTGTTAACAGTGTGGATGTGGGCTACAAATACAGTCCCACAGCAGACCTGACAAGTATATCTGGAACAACATTGGTTTCAGTTTGTGCCACTGGATCTGATCTTACCCCGGCATGTAGTGCTGGACGTCGGCCCCATCCAACCACAGCCACCGACCCTCCTGCCTGGAGTCAGTCAATCCCACCCAAAGGAAGGGAAACTGTGGAAACTTTCTCATCACCGTCTGAACAAAGTCCTGAGGAAAAAAGCAAGTGACATTCAGAGAAGTTCAGTCTGATTTATAACTGATTTATCCATCTACAGAATATGCATATTTCAGGTCTTGGGTGTCTTCCTGCCTCACCATTTCTGAGGTGTCTTTGATCACAGCCAGACTGCTGTTGTGTCGTCCACAGAACTTCACACTCTCATTCCACTGAAGGTCCTCCTGAAGTCCCACTGAGAAGAAGTAGCAGTGGTTCTTCCACCATATCCAGTTTTGTGGACACAGACTGCACCTGGAGTCTATACAACACACGAGAGAAAAACACATACTACAAAAATATTATATGTCTGAGCCGGAAGTAAGATGTTTGTGTGGCACAGGAGGAATCACCCTGACTGATGGTTTGGAGCATCAGGTCCAGTTCATGGCTCTGTTTCTGACACTGCTGCAGACGATGGATCAGTCCTGTGGACGCTGAGGTCTGGGTCACCTGTGGTGCTGCCGTCCAGGAGGCTGACAAAAGTAGTATTAGCTGATTGCTAATTAAACATCAGGATACAATAACCTCTGAAACTACAACTGAAGCTTTCAACCACCAACTGCAGTTTCATCAAGTCAGTGTGTAATAAGCAGTAAAGCAGAACTAACAAATACAGTCCTACTTTAATATTTTACCAAACTGTGGGGTCTCTTATGGATAAGTAAAGCAATCAAATCAGTATAATGTTAAAAACTATAAATGCACAATTGAAATGAGTTCAAATTAAATAAATAACAAGAGCAATTGAGAATTAATTGTATCATTATCTACTTACATTATTTCCAGTCTTTCTTGTGCATACTGTTGAATATATAATCTGTTCTTTTTCACCCTAACCTGCTGCATGTTTTCTCAATTTCAGTCAAAATACATCTTAGATCTGCAGGTGCACTGTCAACCATCTAGAACATACTGTATGTGCCAAACTCAGGCCCGGGGGCCAAATCTGGCCTGCAGTGTAATTATATTTAGCCTGTGAGATCATATCAAATACTATGTACTGCCAGGATGTGTACTATCAGTGGTGTATGCACTATGTTACAGCACATACATTTTAGTTTGGTTTTTTGTTGTTGTTGGCGTGTTAAAAACAATTAAAAGGAACTTTTACTTCAAATATAATTTCTCATGTGTTTATAATATAAAGCTGTGGTTGTTCCAGATTCAATGTTTACACAAAACTAAAGTTTGTTTCCAAATGAAAAAATTCTACATTACATATCTGGAGAGAAGGGAAGACATGCACAATTGACAACAATTTTTCAATAAATCTTTTAAAGTTTTGGCCCACGACTATGTCCCCGTTTTGAATTTTGGCCCACTGTGAATTTGAGTTTGACACCCATTTTCTAAAACTCTAAGGTTATATCGCCTGAAAATAGTAGCAAGTTAAATTTCAAACGCCTTTGTTTCTACTCAACTGTAAAAATTAAACCTGCCTTCTCCAACTGTCTGAAACAGACAGCCTTACAGGATGGGCATTAAAAAACACTTTCACTGACGCATGTACACTGTGTTTTGTTAACCTCACCAAATAACACGAACGCCAGAAGACCTTCCACGCAGAAAATAAACGTCACAACGGCAAAACCCAATCCAACTCCAGGGTGACAAACCTGACAAAATCCTGCAACATCTGTGACACAGAGAAAGGTAACAAATCCATAATTTTCCTCTGCTGTTTCTGTGTAATCAGCAGATGTATTGAAATGCTTCCTGTATTTTCAAAACTTAACCATTAGGGATTCCTTTTAAATATATCACTTTCCTATGTGTGAGAAAGTAAAAACCAAAAGTGCCAATTCCACAAGACACTTCAAAATGATAACTCAAAAAATCCTGACACTTTCTCCTCAGAGTAGTCTTCAGGAACATTGATAAGGACAGAACTGCAGTTTTGTAGTCCTGTAGGTATCTATGCAGTTTCGTCACTGAAGACATCTGATACCAGAGTTCACACAGAAAGTAAAGTACATGAAGTATGTGCTGTGTCAATAGAACTAACCGATAGGTGTTTCCTCATCCTCCTTCTCCTCCTCCTCCTCCTCCTCCTCCTCTGCATCATCTTTATCATCATCTCCCGTGAAGCTCTCTGGTGGATCCATGCTTTCTTCACTTCTCTACATCAACTGTTCCATATGTGGGTTGTTGCACTCAATATTTACACCACCTTCTCACACTTTTTAGAGGAACAAGCGTGGGCACCACACCCCTTCCTCTTATTATAACATTTACACCCTCACCAGGGCTCAGAAAATTCAAGAATTTGACAGGTTAGAAGTGAAAAAAAAAAACACTGAATGAAGGAAGTAGGCAGAGTGCCGATAAGCTTGTGTTGTATATTTTTAAAACAGCATCAGATTTGGATTAGAACCTGGTTTCAGTTTTTATGAATATATATATGAATGAATATATATATATATATATACAGCATATATATATATATATATATATATATACTATATATATATATATGTGTGTGAATAACACCCATTGCTAACCACAAGCAAAAAAAACCCTTCAGATTGTGCACTTCCACTTCACTGTCAATTTAACAGTCCTCACATTATATTTTTTATTATATATTAGACCAATAAAGTCAACATTTTACACGTGTGTCATGACAATAAAGTTGAAATCTAATCTAAAAATCAAATCTAAAAATATGCATTTGCACCTAAGAAATAATTGCTTTCTTTGACTTCTTTGATTTAATTGTACTTGTTAAACATCAAACCTTTTTACAGAGTGGTTCCATCAACACACTCAAAAGAAGTCGGACACCATGCAGATTTACCTCTAGTACTGGTTTCCAACTGCTTTTACAAAACTGTTCATGAAAGGAGAAAAGGGCTTGCTCTCAGTCACCGTTGTAGTTCTGCCTCTCTAGTTTCCAGGTGACACTGTCCCCCAAAGCCTTGGTTAACTGCTCTTTTAGCTGCAACACAACAGAACATTAGGTCAATTCTACTCAACACCACAACATTTGTGTTCTTCACCCTCTCTGTATTGTAAGGTCCCATGTGAAAATGCTGTGTCTGTTTTGTTGCGGTGGAGTCTGACTTACCTGCTTAAACGCTCCATCCTTCGTAGCTTCCTTGTCACAGAGGAGAGGTTCAGGGGACGAGCACATCATGGAGAGACTAACTTCCATTTCCTCTGCCATCTCTATGTGTGAAGAGGGAATTGAAGTCATGTTGTAAAATTAACACATGCCACCAGAAATGGAAGAGTCTGGTGTGTTCAGACCATAGAGTTATTTATCGGCTTCCACAGAGCATCTCTACTGTTTGACATTTCAACTTTTAAACTGCAAAATACTTAGCTAAACTATGTTATATACTTAGCATATGGCTACTTTTAAAAGTAGCCACATTTTAAAACCAGGCTGAAAAGTTAGCCTGGTTAGAAATGTGTCTATTAGTTTGCACCATAATGGTTCAATCATTTGTGCACCATTACATTTATTTATTTAACAATTCTTTTTTACGTTATCTATCTATTGGTCTGTCTATCTACCCGACTGACTGACTGTTTGCCTGTCTACCAATCTATCTTTGCTAGTTAGCCAAGTGTCTCCTCCAGAGCTAATTTTTCAGCATAAGCTAAGCTTTTTTTAATATTCTTGCTGTTTTTGCAATCTGTTTGCATTACTGTTAAAGTAATTAGCTTTTTTTTTTTTAGCTATTTTTACTGAACTCTTAGCTCTTAAAGGCATAGATACCAATTATTTCATCTTTTTTTTTATACAGTGAGGCTTACCTACGGCTGTCATTGGATTTGATATTTGGTTCACACTCCGTTTTTAACTATTACCTGTTTTCCAACTGACTTAATTTAAAGCTAAGAAGGCAAGGCAAAGGAAGCCATTACATCCATTTTGAGGATACATTGAGAAATCAGCAGGACTAAATAACTTTCACCTGTGAACTTTGAGACACGTTTTGGAGAACTCTTCCTTGTATCTGTCATGGTTTGAACTTCGAACTGGTATTTGGTTCCTGATTTCAGGTTTTCGAACCTGTACTCTGTGGTATTAATCCAAGACTTGTTCCAGTGTTGGCCCCAGTAGCTGGAACTGAGGCTGATGAAGAAAAAGGGGTTTACTGTGTTTTCAGGAGGCGTCCACTTAAATTCGATGTGGGACTTGTTTGAAGAAACAACTTCAACACTAGGTGGTGTAGTTGGCACTGCACAGAGAAAAATACGTTGGAACTTTGTCTGCATGTGAGTAAAATAATTAATGTATGTATGTATGTAAATGAAATGACTTACAGGTGAATATGGAACATTTGACTGCAGGGCCGCGTTGACGTTTATTCCGACTGTATACAACCACTGTGTAATTAGCCGCTGATTTCAGTCGTTCAAAGACCTTCTGAGTCACATTTAGTTCGTTCACTTGTTCAACAACTTTACCATCAAGCTGCAGCACTACATCAAAGGTGAGCTGGTTACCAGCTGTGGATGTGCCGTTCCAGGTAGCGCTCAGGGAGTTGTTGGTTGTCTCCAGATGTAGATCTGTAACTGGTCTAGGAGCTGTGAAAAGGTCAGACAGGTCATAGGGCATAGTTCAGGTCATAGATATCTCACCTGATTGATCTCAACCATGATTTACAGTACCTGTGTAGCCATTAATGGACACGGGTGGTCCCATCAGGCACAATTCACTCTCAATTAATGAAGTTACATTGAACAATATACTGATCCCGGGACGCAGGCCTGTCACTCTCAGTTGCTGCAGCGTAATAGAATTGTTGCGAGGAACACTACGGTTAAACCATATCCTGTAGCAAGGTGAAACAGAAACAGTTGTGTAACAGCTAAACATTTCTACAAAACATCAATTACTGGGCAACAGATGTCTGAAAATCAAACAACAGAACAGAAATTTGGCCTCAATGCTGTCCAGATGTGTTCACCTCATAAAAGTTAGCAAAATATACAGTGCATCATATATATATTTATGTATGTGTGTGTGTGTGTAATTGTTTAATTTTGAAATGGCTAGAATTCCATTCAAAAATATGTACATAACGACATGCCCATACTGTTGATCAACTATGACCTCCACTTTGAAAATGTCGGCTCTACCCTCTGGAAGATTCCATTTGAGCAGGATGGAACTGTCGGTAACCTCAGACAAGTTTAGACCAGACACTTTACCAGGCCCTGAGGCACAAAGCAAATACATAAGCATGACAAATTCATTTTGTATTTTTATATATAATTCATACAATTCATCTGGTCTCATTCAATCAATTAACATCTTTGTTATAAACCTACTTGTGTACGTTTCAATGGTAGACTCATCACTCCAGGTTGTACTGCCATTAACTCCAGTAACAATTTTGAAAATATAATGTTTTCCGGGCTTTAAATCGTTGAACTCAATGCCCTCAGATTCAGTCCGTCTCGTGTTATTGCCCTCCATGACGAGATAGAAATTTAAGTTCCCTTCAGGTCTGTGCCACGTCAGAGCGACCCCAGTTTCTAAAAGCGACACTGACGAGCCATTGATCCTGTTGGGTTCTGACAAACAAGAAAGACTTTTTTATTACATTTTCAATAAGATAAACTCTTCTGCAATGTTTTAGGAGTTTGGAGAACATACCATTTTATTTATTAAAAACATGAAAAAAATCAGCCCGTTATGTTCCAGATATAATACACATTAACACAGCTTGAAATTATATACAGCTTAACAATAGAAGCAGCAGTATTATTTCAGATAAATTGACCCAGAAGTAATATTTCTGATAAAGGCAGTAGCAGTATTGTTCCTGCTTAAGAGTAGATGTAGTATATTTATGTAGTAATATTTAAGATCAAAAGAAGCTACCGCATTTTTCACATGAAAAGTACATGCTGTAATATTCCAGTTTTGCAGTAAAAGTCTAGATAAAACGACACTGCAGTCACATATCCCAGACCAAGAGAAGATACTAAATTATTCCCCATAAGAAAATTGGAGTAACAATGCAGACAACAAGAAGCAGCAGTGATTTTCCAGATAAAACGACCCACAGCATCACTCCAGATCAAAAATCTAACCAGTAATATCCCAGATTAGAGCAGCATTACTTCTCCAGGTAACATGTGGAATGTAATCCAGAATATTATCAGATATATATTCTGGATTACATATTACAGAGCACTGGTCTTAAAACACCATAGATGAGACTTCAAATCTCAGAGCCGACAAAATCTCGAGTGTTTTGAGTCCGATGTAACTTACTGGTGTAGAAGGTGACCTTCTGTTGGGTCATTTCTCGTGAACACTTCACAGGAAACACCTTGACAGAGTAGTGGGTCCCTGCTGTCAGGTTGAACAGGTCACAGGTCAAATTAGTGTGATTGTACGACATGTTTATGTCACCTTCGACATCCACGCGGTAATGAGTGACACCATCAGGCCCCGGCAGCCATGTGACAGAAGCGCTGTTGGTCGTCACACTACTCACGTTGACATGGGTCAAATAACTTTCTGTGGCCAAAAAAGACAAAAATAAAAATGGTATTTAGTCTAAAACTACAGAGGTTCTTTCTGTGAATTTTAGCAAAGCTGAGAAAAAAATGTGTCTGCAGCAGAAACAACTTTCATTTTGCCATGTTATTGTATAAGTGTTTTTGTTTCTAAGAATTAGCTAAAAGTAACACTTAACAGAGTAAACTAAAACTTCCGACATGTGCAATTTTAACAAACGCAATTTTACAGATAAAACTATGAAAATGATGAAAATAATTTCACTTTAGCCACAAAACACATAAGAAAAATGACAGAGAAGACACCTTTTGTTGATATATGTAAGAAGGAGCAATGTCTTAGCCAAAGAAAGGCGGCTAAAGGGTCAAACGTCAATTTAAACATGGCCAGTAAATGTTTTTCATTAGCCTGTGCTAAGACAACAGATATTTTTAATAGCTTACAGAAGTAAAGACATGAGTAAAAATAGTCAATGAGCGAAGGACAGGCTGACTTCCACTTAACTGCTTTAGTTTTATGCATACAATCCAGACTGTACTGAATGAATGAATAAAGCTATTGATAAATGTTTTATCATGTACACAGGTGTTTAGACAGGTCCAGAGTCTGGACTTCATGAATCTCACCTTCATAACAAATGAAAGACAACAGCTCTGAACAGCTTATTTCAACCCAAGCTCCAAAGGTCAGCATGGCCACACAGGAGTCTTCAATGTAGTCCTCCTCTTCTTCTGGGTCTGTGTGGGAGCACAAGGAGTCTGCTTCTGTGGACGGGGATCTGCCCATGGTGCTGGACATGTCAAGACCAGTTGTGTTGATGATATTGTGGTCAGGGACACTAGTGACATTGGTCACACTTGGACTGGGGACACTGGTGACATTGGTCATACCGGGATCGGCGACACTGGTGATGCTGGGGTCAGGGACACTGGTCACACTTGGATTGGGGATGCTGGTGACACTGGTCACACTTGGATTGGGGACACTGGTGACACTGGTCACACTTGTATCAGCGACACTAGGCATAACAGGATCGGCAACTCTGGTGATGCTGGGGTCAAGGACACTGGTCACACTTGTATCAGAGACACTGGAGACACTGGTCATACTTGGATCGGGGACACTAGGGATGCTGGACATACTGGGATCGGGGACACTGGTGACACTGGTCACACTGGAATCTGGGACACTAGTCATACCAGGATCGGCAACTCTGGTGATGCTGGGGTCAAGGACACTGGTCACACTTGTATCAGAGACACTGGTGACACTGGTCATACTTGGATCGGGGACACTAGGGATGCTGGACATACTGGGATCGGGGACACTGGTGACACTGGTCACACTTGTATCAGGGACGCTGGTGACACTGGTCACACTTGTATCAGGGACACTGGTCACACTTGGATCGGAGACACTGGTCACACTTGGATCGGGGACACTGGGGACACTGGTCACACTTAAATCAGGGACACTAGGGGCAGGGACAATGGTCATGCTGGGATCAGGGACACTGGGTAAGCTGGTTACACTGGACTCAGGCACACTGGTCACACTTGTATCAGGGACACTAGTGACATTGGTCACACTTGGATCGGCGACACTGCTGACGCTGGTCACACTTGAATCGGGGACACTAGGGATGCTGGACATACTTGGATTGGGGACACTGGTGACGCCGGTCACACTAGGGTCAGGGACACTGGTTATGCTGGGATCAGGGACACTGGGTAAGCTGGTTACACTGGACTCAGGCACACTGGTCACACTTGGATCAGGGACACTGGTTACACTTGTATCAGGGACACTGCTGACGCTGGTGACACTTGAATCGGGGACACTAGTGACATTGGTCACATTTGGATCGGGGACACTGGTGATGTTGGTCACACTTGGGACGGGGACACTGGTGATGTTGGTCACACTTGGGTCGGGGACACTGGTTAAACCGGAGTCAGGCACAGTAGTTGATGCTAAGCAGCTGCGCCTGGGGGACTTCACTACAGGCTGTCCAGGATACCAATTCTGAAAAGTAAGGAGGTCTCCGTTGGCCCAGCGAGTCCAGGCCATTCTGGAGAGAGCACTGAAATAAGTGGTAAAATTGGTATCGGGATAGAAATGCTTTCGCAGGCCAACCCAGGAGTCAGAGGTCAGATTCTTGGCAATGGTCTGGATGTTTTCTGGGGTCAGAGTTACCAGGTCTTTAAAACAGACCTAATGAGACACAAAAGGTTCCAGTCATCTACAATATCTTGTCTAAGTGGTCATGAGCACTAAAGGAAGAAATCTCAAAAGCAGTTTTAAAGTAAGAAACCGGACTCACCTCAAGTAAGTTGAAGACATTTCTTGAACACAACCATTAGAGGTTTAGGAAACAACAGAAATGACTCAGATGAGCACTTACCAGTCATATTGTTCAGGCCCAGTGGTTAGCATGCCTGCCTCAGCAGCAGAGAGTCCTGGGTTCGATTCCCAGAATAACCACATGCTTGGCGCCTGCTGGAGGCAGCCTGTTAACAGCATATCTGCTGCTAACACAAGCGTTTCCCAAATATGGGATCAATATAGCTCAAATTATTATTATTACTCGACACCACACCCCCCGTGGGGTGGATAAATACCTGAAAACTCCCCACGAGGACAGTAGAACTGATGAAGCCTCTTGGATGAGACGTGAAACATCTTCAACTTGAGGTGAGTGCAGTTGCCTACTAAAACTGCTTTTGAGATTATTATGATGACCGTATCTATATCTATCTATCTATATATATATAGATATCTATATCTATCTATATATATATCTATATCTATATATATCTAATTACTTGTGGTATGACTATATACATATAGAAATACCACAAGTAATTACATATATACTGTATACATATATATACACACACATATGTATAGGTTGTGCAAAACAAAAATTGTGCTACATATGAACTAATGGTAAATATATAAAGAGAATAAACAGTTTGGAAGTGTGTTGATATAAACTATAACTTAGGTAAATATAAATGTAAACAGTATGAAGTGATAAATGTAAACAGGAATAGATTAGGAATAGATCCGGAATAGAAAAATAAATGAATAAAAGTGTTGAAGATATTTCACAGAATTTGAACAGAAAATATTGCACAGTGAAATTGCACTTGGTTTTTTATATGCACAAATATAAAGAAAGAAATGGTTAAAATTCCCAATGAAAGATTAATACTTATATAATACTTAATACCATATATATACTGTATATAGTGCTCAGCATTAATAAGTACACCTACATTTTAACTAATGAATTAAGAAACACAAGAACAAACTCAGAAGACTGAGTTCCATTGAACATTTTTAAATTCCATGACATTAAAGTAAGTTTAATAGTATAACTTGGTTCACAAAACCTTCAGTTTAACTCAAATTAGTTGAAGCAAATGAATACACCCTGAAACAAAAACTACTAGTAGTATTTTGTGTGACCACTATGATTTTTAAAGACTCTAAATATAGAGCACTCACGCAGCCCCACATTAGAACACTGCCACCCCTGTGTTTCACTGTAGGCACCCTGCACTTTTCTTTGAAACCTTCACCTTTGCCACACCAAACACTTTTGAATCCACCAGTTCCAAAAAACAGTGATCTTTGTCTCATTGCCACGGGTATAGATTCCTAGTATCTTTTTTCAGCATGGGTCCTGGCAAAACCTAGGCGTGCTTTTTTTGTGCGTGGGCTTTAGAAAACCTTTTCTTTCGTTTGAATGCCCTTTTATAGTCACCTGCCTGTTAGACAACTAAGTGAACTTTAAATTAATTAAATAAAATGAAATTTAAATATCCTGTGATTGAATTCTTGCTAATTAGAATTGAGTAGTCTTAAGCTTGAATGAATGTCTTATAAAAATAAATTATTTATGCTGAGCACTGTATGTGTTTATATATATACATACATATATAAACATATATATATAAATATATATATATATATATATATTAGCATTAACTTTTGTAATGCTCCACAAATTATCCTTGACTTTTCAAAAGCTGATACTGGGGCCCAATATAGACTAACAAGACTGCTGTTCTTTTGTCAATTTACAAAGTGTCAGCTGTGCCAATGACCTCACGGAAATTTGTTTAGACAAATCTTTGACAGAGTCGTTTTGTTCCAACCAGTTTTGATACATTTTGCTAAAAGAATTATCAACTGATTGGACTCACCGTGTTGTGTACATTGTATTTAACAAAAATGAATTGAGGTAATATAGCTGTGAATGTGTTGATTTGGATTCTACAAACCTGTGTGCTCCCTAAAGGTTTGGGAAACAACGGCCTAAGTTTAGATGCTTTTATACCTTAGAGGAATTTGGCCAATGCCAAGATAATTCTTTAAGGGTTTAGTGCCATCAAGACAAATTAAAAATCTTGCTCCAAATTACTAAAAATTTAAACAATTAGCATCTACAGTGTTTCTATACGAAAAACAGTTTAATTTTGTTAACCGTTTAATTTTTGAGAATGGTAATGAACACCACACTCTTGCCTTTAAAACAAAGGGAGCCTTTTCTATGCATTAATCATTTACATAGAAACCTTTCAGTCCTACCCTGCAGTGGTTCCTGGCTTCATCCCAGGTGACAAGTCTACTCATGAAGAAATATTCTTGTGCTGCACAGCCGTACATCAACATCACAGCTGCAAACATAAATGCAACAACAAAATGTCAACAACCACAACATTATTACAAGTGCACCATACATCACCAAGCCACTGCTTTTTTACATCAATAATTACAAACTGAGCAACAGCTGCTGGTGGTGGTTTTAACTGTTTCTTTTAAATCAAAGTAATAAATTTTCAAAATTCTTTAACAGCATCAAAGCAACATGTCCAGAACATTTAGCACAATTTTTGAAACTGCAATAAAATTCTAATTTTGTATTGAATTGTTTTGATGAATTGATGTCTGACACGCCCTTTAAAATGTAAAATGTACTAAGGTTAAAAAAGTTTAAAACCTTTGTCAATGTTTGAAATTATCTAAACATAATAAATCAGTCCAATCAACAAGACCAAAATGAACACATTGTCAATACTCACCAGCTGATATAAGAACACAGACTTCTACTTGATGAGCGAAGATTCTCATTTTATCCCTTTACAATTTTTGCACTGCAAAACAGTTACTGTAAGATTAGACAGACTACAGGCACACTGTACATTTAATAAAGTATAAACGACTTACCTGAGATGTAGGCGCGTGTCGTCTGACCAGGAAATAGCCCATGAACAGATCTAACCAAATACAGTAAAAACGTAGGTGTGATGCTACAACAGGAAGTCAACAGTGCAACACTGACCTGATAACACTGGACACAGCAGAAGCATTGAACTTCATGCAAATATGTACAAACATGGAAAAGACTCAAACAACTGTACTAGAGAACACACCCAATAGAAAATGTTTAGCTTTTATTTTAAAGTATGAACTAACAAAAATGATTGAAGCTGTGATATAAAAAACAATGAAAAAATATACAGTAAAAACATAAACATCTTTTATAAAAACCAAAAGCCCAAAATAAATCTAAAACGTTACAGACTAACATAATACAAAAACACAAAATGGTGTTAGTAACCTATTAACGGCAGCATGTAATCAAGTGGTTGACTCAGGGAATGACAGTGATTGGTTGCTCAAGAGTTGATTAAATATTAAATGGGATTTAGAAACAACATATGGCCAAAACAGTGAATATATGAAAATGAAGCAGACGATTTCAGGGTGATCCAGCCAGGCCCCAAAATTCACCAATAAAATGTTTAGTCAATTCAAGCTAAAAAAGTTAAAAAGACCATTTCTAAGGTGACATCACCGAGGGGAGCTAGCCTTACAGCTGATGTTTGATTACAGCTTCTGATCTTCTGACATCAGCAGGAGAAGAGCAGTGATACAGTCATGTACGGCAGTGACATGTTCATAAATGGTTTATCATTTCCTGTGCATCTAATTTAGAGCATAATTCATAGTCCAGGCACCCCAGATGGAAGTGATTGACCAAGAAAACAACTCTTTGGTTTACATTAACAGCTAAGACAACATGGGAGCATTCATACTGTCAACACTCATGACTTCTTCCAGATTTTTAAAAAACACTGATCCATTATTCCTCTCCATCTCTGAAAAAGTCAAGGCCGAATTTCATCACTGGTGTCTCCTCTGCATAATCAATTTGACTTTATTCATAAGGTTTTTAAAAAACAAAAAGAATGTCGGAGACACTGCAGTGTCCGACTCCATGATCAAAGCAACAAGGTTCTTCAGTCACTGTCGCTGCGCTCGCTTTGCTGCATCAGCCGTTTTCCAGTGGCGGGAACCTCGTGCTTCTTGGCCTGTTTCTTGCTGCAGGGAGAACAAGAAAGTTTGAAAAAGAGGTTTTCAGAAGAAAATACTTAATATCCTTTCACACAAAGCTGTTGGTGCTGTTTGTGTGGCTACTTACTGGCCATCCTGGGAACATTTTCAGGACTTCTCTAAAATAGGATGTGTGGAAATGAATGAATTTTTAAGTGAGTCTGAGGTTTTGCCTTCTACCTAGGAATGAATCTCTTCCATCCTCCAAGGCCTTACTATGTTCTTCACCTGATGCTGAAGTAAAGATTCACAGCAGTAGAGAAGACTGGTGTCATACAAGCTAACAGCCACCAAACTGGTATTACAGCCAAAGCTTCATTTCAGAAGATGTTTTTTTTAAAGATTCTGAATAAAACAGTTTATTATTTTCTACCTTCGTGTAAACGTACTGAACTAAATCCACATCAACTCACCTTAACTAAACTTAAGAGTTGTCTCTGAACTCATCGTGCAGCCTTTGCGTAAAACAGGAATAATGTATTCAGTGTGTGCAGTGACCTCTACTGGTAGGAGGACAATCGGGATCGTGGGATCATTTCTCCAACAATCTCTCTTCAATGAAACGTTAGGAAACTGATACAAATTCTTCTAATAAAAACAAAGGACTATTTGTGACACAGAATCGTATTAAATGTCAATTGCAACAACAGATATTGTACATAAAGGTCAGATTTATGGGTTAGAGGAGCCCTGGAGTGTTGCATCTATTTGCTTTTGCTTGTTGAAAATCAAATGGATATTTCTCTGATCAACAGCAAATTTACCATGAACACAAAACACGTTTCACCCAAAAAAAAAATTACTTCAGGTGGCTGTGTTTTTTAACATTTCCTTCCCCAAAGTGGATATTTCTCTTACCGCTTCTTGTCAGCCAGGTCCAGACCTTCATTGATCTCCTTGAGTAGCTCATATCTCTTTTTTCCCCGAATCTACAGATGAAATCACAAAAAACATATTCTCAGTACAGAAGGTGTGAAAAGAAATCTAGAGTCGCACATAAATGAATCTAAACTGACATGAAGGGTAAAGATCTCCTTGTCTTCCTCATCTGCACTTGAGGAAGTCTTCAGTTTCTTTGCCGGGGTCACGTCAGGAGCCAGGGTGCTCTCTGAAACAAAAGAGAATGTCAGAAAAAAAAAGATAGCAGGGAAAATTAAGTCAAGAATAAAAAATCTCTGTCATACTTTTCTTTTTGGTTTGCTTGATCCCGTTCTGCGTCTTGGTGCTGTTTTCCTCCTCAGTCTTGCGGTCTCTTCCAGGACATGCACAGACACGCACCTCGAAGCATCTCCTGCCCAGCACCCCTCCCCTGGAGAGAGAAACAAGGAAATGGACACAGATGTAAAATGTGTTTCCTAGCTACAAACATAACCTAACATATGAGGAAGAAAGTCATCTCACATACTTGATTAAAACATTTGTTATAACAATCCACATATTCCTCTCAGTGCTGTATACCAATAGTTTAAATAATAAAGGTTTAACAAAAGAAAAAACAAGATAGACTTCTATCTCCAGAAAGAGCAAAAATATTGATTCTAAAAAATATATATTATTACTAGAGCTGTTGAAATTAAGGCATTGATCAGGCACAAAAGGAAAGGACTAAAAGCCACCAATTCTATGAAACTAAATTTGGAATTATACTTTCTCACGATTTAATCTATTGACAGCTCTATTTTTTTTTTTTAATGACACCGGTGCTTGCAGTGGTTTAATGCTGTTCCACCGGACCTAAAAAACCTTCACGTGAGACTTACTCTGGAGTCTCGAGGGTCAGAATGGTGAGGATGGGTCTGCGGTTCATTCCACCCATGCAGGAGCTGTTGCACATGAAGCTCAGCAGGATGGTGGTCATCTCTGCACCCGGCTAGAAAGTGGAGAAAAATGATTTAATTATCACTTGGAGTTAAACCCTGCTGCTCTGTGCAGCACATCTTTTGAGAATGCACCACCGTGTTAGGTTACAGTGAACTGCCAGAGCTCAGGAGAATCTGACCTACAGGTCTAAGTCCAGATAGAACTGCATGATGCTGGAGGGTGCAGTGGAACTGTTCCTTCTTCAAAACACAGTAGCCTGTACTACAAAGCATGGCGGTGGTGGTGCCATGGTATGGAGATCTTTTGCAGCTGACTGAGTAGAAGATTTGCAGGTGATCATGAAGAACAGACAGTACCAGTATGTGTATATTAGACATACACACACTTGGTGCACATTTCTGTAACCAAGGGAGTAGTGTGCCACAGCATGAAGCACCTAATTTAAGCTTTATTATGTTATTGCTACAGCTGAACACAAAACTGTCTGGCCACAGATGTGATTCATCTGACCTGAGGTATGTTGTTGTTTCCAGTTCGGAAGTGGATTGCAGGTGATGGAGCTGGCAAAACAGATGCCATCTCACTCTTTTTCACTCTGTAACTCTAAGTCCATATTACTCACTACACACAAAGCTCTTCCAGGCCCTTCCAAAACCTTGAGCTGATAGATTTTGAAACACTGCCTTTGATATAATATTTAGTGTTGTTGGGTTTGATGGTGGCACCTATCGAAATGAAATTGACTGAAGGGAGTTTGTGATATAGACGATATGTTCTTTTCTACTCAACAAAGCTGCCTCTTGTTTTTTTTAGAAGTTGTGTTCAGAGAATAAAAAAAGCTTATGCCGTCAGAGCCAAACCTGAGAGCGACACACAACTTATTTTGATCTAAAATAAGCCTGCTTTCATGCTTAAACACTTTATATGGTATAAAATGAAGGGGGCGGGGATACTGATACTGCAGATACCAGTCATACTGTACCTGAGGTGGCTCATAGGGGACTGTCACGCTTTGTCTCTTTGTGTGACCATCTTCAAAATACTGAGCTCTCTGGCTGCCCTCCACTCTGATTAGGTGGCTGCGATGCTCAGCAGCTGAATGAAAAAATAAATTGAACTAATTAAAAACCCTTATTATTCCAACAAACACATTATCCCAAATAAACTGTTTTGTCATTTCTCTACTTTCTTACAATCTTCGTTCTGGTGATGGGGGCATCTGCGCACCACGTCAGCCACATGCTCTGTCTTCTTGTAAACTGCCGTGGCTCTGAGGACAGCACCATGAGGAGGCTCCTTGTTCAACTGCATAGACACTGGGCTGGTTTTTGCCAGCTGGCAGAACAACTTGTTGAGTTGCTCTGAATACTGAAAAAGAAGGAGAATGCCATACGTTTAGTTGTCTCCAGGTTTGTGGAGAAGCAGCTGAAAGTATGAAGAAAACAAGGCTGAAAAAGACCAGACTGAAAAACAGATTTACTTAATATAGCCAATACTTTAGATTTGCAAACAAAGGTTTGCAATCAAAATATTAAGTTTATATTAAGTTTTTACCTTAGTAAAAGCCAAATTTAACCATTTCAGTGCTGGTCAGGACCTCACAGGAACATGTCCCGTCATGTCAGAGCTGTACTCTACAACCAGACTCAAACGCTACCACAGATCAGAGCACTGGCTGGGGGGTGGGAGTCTGAGAGAAGACCACCCTAACTTAGGCCAAACTGACCAACCACAGCTTTAGCCTGCATGATTCCCCACTGACAAAGCAACGCCATTGGGTCGTCAAACATTGGGACTGAATCTAGACCTAAAGATTTGGCGAATCGACACAATGAGATTCCACATGAAATAGAGAAAAGCAACGAATGGAGTTTGAAACTCAGCACTATGGTAAGACAAAACTTTTTTTAAGTTCTTTTTTTTACTCAACATGAAGCTTTTTTAATTTTTAGATAATCTTGAAGTTTAGCAAGGAGCATTTTTACAACAAGTTTGAAACTCAGTGCCTATTAAAGATACAGAGTGTAAAGAGTTAGAATAAATCATTTAAAACACTGCGTGATGCTGCACGACTGTCTCGCTTTTTACATTCTCTTCGTCCGCAGCAAAGGATTCATGCGTGTGTTTCCAACCAAGTTTGGTTGCATGACAAACGGTTGTAAAGAAAAACGGTACATTTCAAATTAGAAATTATCTTTCTAGAATTAATAGCAACTTGTAATTTTAGACTCCAAGAAGTACAATGCTTTGTTTAAAATGTATCCAATGCCAATATTTACAAAAACAATTTTTTCAGAAAGGGGTTTTTCAGCCTTGTTTGTTGGTGAAAAGTAAAGCCTAAGAATTGACATTACAGTAGAAGTGACAGACTTGGCGGTGCCAGACTTCTGGAAGTGGATCTTGAATTCATATTCCCCTGGATAGTCTGTAGTAACCGGAACAGTGGAGGCAGGGGGAGTGACAAAATCGCTCCCCTTCGTCATCATCGCCTCTGAGTTCAGGGTGTCAAAGAGATCCTCGTCAAACTGCTCGTGCAGTTCCTGGTCATTCAAGAGCTGCACAAAAAAGTTAATGGGCAAAAAAACCCACAAAATTATATTTTTTCCTTACAATTACTTTTTCCTTTATTGAAGCAATTTAACATTGTGTTACTTACAAAAGCTGTAGAGGCTAGTGCCTCGATTGGAGCTTCAACCTGCCATTGCTCATGTTGGGGGGCTCTCTGTGGTGCCATGCCTACATCTATAGAGGCAGTCACACTGCAAACACAAACAAACCTTCAGTCTACCATTTCAAGCATTATCTACCATCATGTGATCTGATACCAAAACACAACTTACACTCCCCACAGCTCTCTGAAGGTATCCTCCTGGCTGGGGGTGAAACCACTTGGCTCTCCCATTGTTAACTTCTCTTCTTCCTCCCACAGAGAAGGAGGGAAGAGCTGGGAATAAACAGGAAGTAAAAAACGTATATGAAATGACGACACGTGTTACATTTATTTGGAGTTGAACACAGAACCTAAAACGATATCAATGTCTTCTTATTCAAATAACTAACAAGGTTTTTAAAGGTCAATTTTTATACTACAAAAATTCTGTCATTAAAACAACTGTTAGCCCTGTGTGAGAAATTCAAACATTGTTCTAAAAAAAGCTGAGCAAATGAGGTAATAGAGATAGAGAGAACTATTTTAGAGAAACCGTAATTAAGGAGCTTGACTATAAAATGTTCTATAAAAGTACATATTTACCAAAAACATCAAAAATTTAAACAGGGTTAAATAAAATTTGGCATCAGGAAGGTGGACCACATTCCTGTCAGTATTGCTCAAAAACATTCTTAGAAAGAGACTCCAGACGCAGCCCTGTAAACGGGGAAAGCCTAGATGTAGGCCACTAAACTTTCAACAAAACATGTTTAACTTGGAGTTGCACTTCTTTATGTAAATTAATGTTCTAAATCACACCATGGGTCCATGAAATGCGTTGTGTGGTCAATGACCAAATTTACAATTTTTATAAGGAAGCCTCAGATGATGGGGAAACTATCTTACAATGTCATCATTTTAAGGCATTTTGCCATATAAAAACCTTTACTAACCATTTAATATTTTAAAAAAGGGTTTAGGCTATTCGATTTTGACCATTTCTGCCGCGTTTCTACACTGGGCTTACAAAAACTATTGATCCACAACAGTTTTAAAAATAAATAAATATTTCGCACTGCCAGACTGGAGGTTCTGGTTGTCGAATGAAAAATAGGCCATCTTCTCCAGCGGTTTAACAAATTACATTCCACATAGTTTATCAATACATTTTTGTCACCAATGACGAGTATATACACACACACATATATATACATACATACATACATATATATATATATATATATATACATATATACATACATACATATATATTTATATATATATATGTATATTCATCATTTTATTTAATACATGTTAAGTCTTTAAAAAGCAAGTTCTGGGTCAAGTATCACTAAACCACAAACGCGCTAGCAATCTTTGGTTTCATCCATTTTCTGTCGGCTTGAGGCCGAATGAATCAGGCTTTGCTAGGCCGCAAATTCAATGATTGAAATAATCTATATAATGTGCACTTTGTTTTCAACTAAGGCGCGTTTACATTAACCCTGCCATTGTATACAAAAAACGGCAGAAAGATGAACTACAGTTTCTTCTATACATGGTTTGTCGTTAGCCACCTCGGCTAATGCCGCTACATCAACATTTAAGGTGCACCGAAAACTTTTTCTCTTCGCCGGGCCTAATCGTTTCACCGGGTTAGCTTTAGTATGGTGGACCGCTGAATGAATCGTTTGTCTGCTACCTTTGGACGTCGCTGTACTCCCCGCTGACCAACAAGGGTGAGCCTTGGCTGGAGGACCGAGTGAGAAGAGTCAAAATATTTGAGGAAAAGCACGTTTGGCGTTGTTATTGTCGGGGATTCCCACTCGAAAGACTAGGGACTGCTATGTAACCCCGCCCATTTTTACAGCGACCAATCTGGCAGTGGACGTTAACGCAACACCGCGAAACACTGCTGCGTTCAAAGTTATGAGAAACGCTTAAAGATGGGAACTACGATAGCCCCTTAAAATAGAACAGATGAATTTAATTCAATGTAAAAACCTTAAAAACTCAGAGTAAGGTGGAACGTAATGTCTAATTATTGCAATCTAATGTATAAGCTCTTTTTATGATTCGGAAATAGCATCTCTAAAATCAATAACTCAACTTGCAGCCAAGAATGTCAATTAAAATAAAATAAAAAAGAGGATATTATATTAAACTGATATTATATTAAATGGATAAGAGTGTATAAACATAATAGGACAAAAGAAAAGGAAATAATTTAATAAAGGAATCTTATCACAATGAGGGATCATCTCAATGCCTAACCTACCTAACCTAAATATAAGTCCATATTGCTGTGTTGTATGGGTTTGTAGCCTTAACCTTGGTGCCAACTCAACACAATTCCACAAGTAATGAATTCCTAATTAGAAAAAAAATGACAACAGTGTCTTCTGACTACTTTATCTTTGGAGGATGCACCAGCACTGACTTTGTTTCTGTTTCCACCCACAGAAGTTGATGGTCATCTCAGAAGCCTAACTGTGGTCAGGGTCAGCCTCTCTGCTATAAAGCATTCTCAGTGATGGATCAAATTTACTTTGGGGTGCAGGCGTCCTTCAACCCAAAGGGTTGTGGGTCAATCTCATACACGATTTGTCTACACATTGTCCCTCTGGCAGATGTTCTGACAGTAGATGAAGGGCAACACTTCATGTAATAAATGAGCATTGAGGACCAGATATATGCTAATAAGCTACACTACGACTACGGTTTGTACGTCTCTTTGTGTTATTTCTAATGCTAACTGTTAAGTTTGTATCTAAATGGAATTTAGGTTAAGAGTTTCTTAGGTGGATGTTCTGAAACTATTTTAAGTTTGTCTGCATATGGAGTTGCATTCTGAAATGTTCATAAGCCATACCATTTGTCTCGAAAGCTCATTTGTATAGGATTTGTGAGAAAAACTCAGTGTGTCAGTAACAATGAGGCCTAAACCATGAAGTCACACAGCCTATTTCACAGAAACTAATCTTCAGAAAAAGTCTGCTTTACTATAGACTTACAGACTAGCTTTATTTATTTGTTTTATTTCAATTTTTCATGCATATGCTGTATTCTGGGAATCACAATGAATGAATCTTTGTTTTCTTTTTGTCATGTTTGAATCTATTTATTAATTTACATTTGGTTGTAGTGGGATTGGGTTTTGAGGGGCGGGGGTTGGTGTGTGTGTGTGTGATGTGTTTTTTTTTTTTCATGATGTCACTTAATGTCACTTGACACTGTGACTTATGGAGGTGTCTGGTCTTTAACTGGTATTTGGAGTCATCCACGGCCTACACTCTGAATTCTGGGCCTAGTCCATCTCCATGGGTGCAGAGTCGATATTGGTACTACTTTGAGACTATGTGGTTGTTTGACCTTTCAGTGAATGTACTCATGGTGCCAACAAGCTCTTCATGATCCTGCAGACAGATACAACAGTGACGCTGGAAATAACGCGTGCATTAATAAACGTAGTGTCTCAAAAAGGTTTGTTCCAGAGCTCTAGATAATTTAATGTTGCTTGAAATTTAATCTTAATCTTGTAATGCGGTCATACCAGCACATGACAAGCCACATGGCATGATTCTGGCTGCAATAGTGTGGTTGAAAATCTTTATAGTTGTTGCCACAGCCACTGCAGAATGACTGGAGACTCATGTCAATGATCTTTAAACACACTGTGATTTAACGTCTCCACTTATGTTTGTAGGGTTATGAGGACATTAATGTATGACATTAATGTATGTATGTATATATATATATATATATATATATATATATATATATAAATATATATATATGATTTGCGATTTAACGTCTCCTCATGTGTGTAGGATTATGAGGTTAGGGCATTCATGTTCTGTTATTAACCACTAAAAAATGGACAAATATAAAAAACAGTATTTATATTGATGAGATGCAATATTAAATGGTACAAAAAGCAAATATTTAAGGTGGAACTGCACATTATTTGTATGTTTTGCTCTACAACCGGCTGAAGTCTGAGGAGGTCAGTGTAGAAACAATGTTCTGACTTTAGTGCTGGACCTATTTTTCAGAGGTCACAGAGCCATAATGACCTGTACCTGCACAACCTGAGATTTTTTTACGTTAGGATTTTGAGGTTATTTAAAAAAAAAAAAAAGCTAAAACACTGTCATAACTAAAGTTGCACTTTCTTCTTTTTGGTTGCTCCTAAAAGGATTATGTGAACAATTATATGTAATTTGACATATGTTGGTTTTGTAAAATCTGTAAAATTTAAAATCCATCAATGTCTTTACAAATGCGCAGGTGCTGGATCTCAAATAAACCCTGCAGAAAAACTGATTCTTGACATGCAACGAGCTGTGACTCAACGTTTCTCGTGAGCACCACAGGGAGGCCTGCCTTTGGCGTCCCTGTTGCCATTGTCTGTGTTCCCAACAACTATAAATCCCTTTCTATTTCAGATCACATGCCAACGAGGTCACACGCACATGCACACAGCCACTCGGGTACACAACAACACTCAATGTCCAGCAGGCGACAGGTGGAGCCTAAATCTGGACACCATCACCTGAGTTAGCAGTGAAGGTGTGTTGATAGAGTCAGTGGCCAGGGTGACGGTGTGTCACGCTTCGTGCCCATACAGAGCTCAGTGGAAAACTTTCATCAGCTGTGTGTCTTTCACAAGCAGGGACACACCCTCCACACTCTGTGACGTCATTCTCTCCCTTCACCCTCTCCTTGCTTTTTCCTTTTGCTGCCACCGTATGCACATTGACTGAGTGTGAAAGAAACTTGACACCTGATCCTGCAAAGCCAAGGCCTCAGACCAGTCATGTGCAGGTCCTGGGGTCTTACTAAATGTAGAGTAACTATACACCATAGTTTTGGTGGTTTACATTTGAGCTGTGGGATAGACAGAGGTGACGTTACGATACCAAAAAAAACCTTCAGAGAACAATGAAAAACTATACGTACAGGCTTGCAAAGGATTGAGTACATCTAGAGCAATTGGCAAAAAAAGCAGGACACAACTGTCCTCGAACATAATGACAAAAGAGTGTGTGCGTGTTTGGGGCCAGTTGGGTCAACAGGTTTAAAAAGGAGACATGTGACATACGGCAGGTGCTGTGGTTGGAGTCGGTGTGACATGCAGAAACATTTGCACTGAAATTCCAACACAATTGCATTTGTGTATATTGAAAATAAATATGTCATACATCAAAATAAAATCTAATGAATTTAGAAATGTTGCTGAACATGTACTGTATTTCCTAGTGAACTAGTAGTATAAATGACATTTTTTATGTGACCTTTACAGTGTTTCTTGAAATTAATTCAATACGATTGAACAGCAGCCTGGCTTTAAATTCAGTATGAACACAAAAACCTGCTTCTGAAATACAGCCCCAAACCAGGACGAAGTCTCCTTTTTTGCTTTTGTGTAAAATGCAAAAATGTCATAATGACACAATGTTTTTTATTGTATACAGTATATATAGTGCAGTAAGTGTGTGTGTAAAATATTTGTCAGAATGCAATTGTAAATTCCAATTGATCATTGTGAGTGAATGTAGTAAAATAGGTAGTACAAGAACTGTACCCTGAATATTCAGAGCAGGCAATGAGCAAAGATCACTTTTGTTGCTTCTTCCAAAAGACTTGCCAAGTACTGTATAGTGTAGACTACACTATTATTAAGTTTGGACACACTGTGGACACAGCAGATCTCTACGTCTGTGAGGTGTCAACAGTCTCCTTCCTCCTGAACACATGCTCTCTCTCTCTCTCTCTCTCTCTCTCTCTCCGTCTCTCTCACTCTCTCTCTGTCTCTCTCTCTCTCTCTGTCTGTCTCTCTTTCTCACTTTCTGTCTGTCTCTCTCTCTTTCTCTCTCCCGCTCTCCCCTCTTTCATCTACAGCCAATAGCAGTTAAGGTCAGCAGACACGTCCTCTGTTCTGCTGCTGGACCTGCAGCTCGTGTCTCAGGGGGTCTCACTGTCTCCTCCCTCCACTCAACTCCCACCGGATAGTATGAGGAGTGAGGGAGCGCACGTGCGTGTTCAGCTGGACAGACGCAACACAGACCTTCAGCAAAGACAGGACATCCATCAGGAGAGGACGCACCAACCGGATTGTGACGTGGATTTTACATGTTCTTTAAATTTGTTGGGGTTTAAGGCGCTGAAGATTAAGGTTTAGGATTGTTGTGTTTTGGGGAGAGAGTTTCACGTGTCTCCATTTGGCGCTAGTCATGCCGGCGGGGTTTCAACAACTCGGAGGGGAGGTAAGATTGTTACAGGGAGCTTCTCCGTGTGAATTTTGTTTATCTTAATAATTACTCCCAATAATGCAACAGTTATCTGCTATAACTCGTAAAGTCTTGAATCAGTGCAACAGTCTGGTTTTAAGCACCGCTGTTTTTGCAGCAAAGTGTGAATAAATAAAATAAAAAATAGCATAGCTTCCATAACTAAAATTAAATCCAGGTCTGACCTTGACCGGACACATGTCTGTGTTTACAGGTTACAACCCAGTTTTGTGAGCACAGTTGCTTGACTGGTTATGGCCCACATTGGCCCAAGGCACTGGTTATGATCCTATATATATATATATATACATATATCATCAGTAGGTAGATTTTATAAGAAGAGAAAAATAACAATACAATAAACTAGTAAACATTATGCAACGTTTATTTGTGACATGCACAGAAGCAAAGACATAAATACAGTTTTCCAAATATTATCCTTGTTAGAAAAACTAATTATATGGAATATTTTAAACTCATTATTATTAAGTGGCTTGATTTTCAGAACAGTAGCTTGTGGTCACATGTATTTGGTTGAATAACTGAAGATAGTTAGTAGTTCTATTATTAATCAAAACCTGTCTGATTTTATATCAGACAAGGTAAAGGCAGACGTATAACCTGTACCCTTGTCTGTAAGGACACTTTTTTTGGTTCACTTGAATCTTAACACAACACTTCTTTGAATCTTAACACAGCAAGGTCAGAAATACCAACAGAGTAAAATGTTAACTAAATGATGAGTACAGTAAAGGAAAAAAGAACACAGGGGTGAATCCAAGAGACTAGACACATGTGGCATTTATAAATAATGGCTTGATACACAGTATATTGATCGGATTCATGTGCCACGAGAGTTCATCAGGTGTTCAATGGAAAAGTGTCCATTTCACTTAATTGGTCTGAGGATCATAATTTAGTTACTGCAAAACATATGTTGTCGTATGACTGTGCTACATTGACAGGCTGAACAATAAAGTACTCTTCCACTAGGTGACGGAAGAGGGCACACTAAAACAACGATCTTTGTCTTACTTCAATTCCTGCAAGAACAACTGCGTTGTTTTCAGCTAAACAGGCCCAGATTTTGCACTGAATAAGTGCAAAATCTGACCTCTGACCTCTGACTGACCACAACATGTAGGGAATTCTGCTGCAGAACTAGACTAAAAACAATCCAGAGGGTTTAATGTACCAGGCCCACTTTTAGATCACAATCCATAGTTTGAGAACCACTAGTTCAATATAAATCACTGTTGTATTATTTGTCAGTCACATGAACAGCTTTGTAATTTCTTTGTTTGTCCAGCTGTTCCAATAATCTCACCGTAATGATCTCTGCTGTAGACAGAAAGTCCTAGAGCAGCACTAAGGCTAATCCTACTGTTATGACACGCCTCGTTGAGAATCAAACACACTTAGCCGAAGGGGAAGTTGACATATCTCCAAGGTCGTGTTGTCTGTCACCTTGAAGACAGGTGTCTGTGGCCTCATGGGAAACTGCTGGGAAGCTGCTGTCAAGGCATTAGCAGTGAAGTCATAGAAAGAGCCAAAGAGATTGTCTCTCATCAGAATCACAGTTATATTTAGTTGATGTTTGTAGTGTGGGGCTTTAAGTGTGGCTCAGCCATAAAAAAAACAAAAACATTGTAATGTAATGTAAAAACCTCACCCATGATTGTGTTACTATTCACATCTTCAGAAAACACTTTAGTTATGGTTCTTTTCAGTAATTCATGTGAGTGTGTGGTGAAATGTATACGGTGTCTGTTAATTTAATAAATTAACTGTAAGTAAATAAATTAACTCTAAGTAAAACTATGCTGTAAAAATATACAAATTACTGTGATTTCAACCCACTATAATACACTAAAATTGTTTTGAAGTTTATACTGGAAGAAATGTATTCAATTTATATGTTGTGCTTTACAGTTTTGTTTTGTTTTTTTGGCAACCACAGCTGCCAACAGGATTTTGTTTTACAGCGTTGCCAAGAAATGTAATGTGTGCAATGTGTTGTGAAATAGCTGGTAGAAGAGCTGGACAGAGGACAAGACTCAGAGGTGACTATATCATAAAATAAAGATGATTACAGTATATCATTTTCCTCTGTATTTGTACCACAGACAGTTACTGGAACCCTCGCTCTCTCTGTCTTCACTGCTGTACTGGGATCTCTGGAGTTTGGATACAACATTGGAGTCATCAATGCACCTCAGAAGGTAAATAAGAACCTGGTCCAGGTGTCAGTGTCAACACAAGTGCTGCCTCATGCGGGAGCTTAACACAGTGGCATTTTAAAAAATATGTCAAGCTGAGCTGTTTATCAACACCGCCTGGTTTTTCTGTGCCTTGTGTGTTTGATGCCAAAACATAGAGTCGTGCTTTCTGAAGACACACGATGCTCTAAATCCAAGGAAACAGTTTAAAGGTTTAAGGTAAAGGTGAAAGTTTAGGGTTTAATGGTGTGTTTGTTTTTTCAGTTGGTTTTTTATATATTACCCATCCATTCTGTAGGAATTACTTGTTTTAGTAGACAGGCAGTTGCTTAACTCTTTTAATAGGCAAAATATTTTTTTTTATAAAATTATACATTTTAAATGGGAAGTTTAAGATTTTAAAGATTTATAAAGGACAAAAAAGCATAGCTCTAAAAATATCATGTCCTTAAAAAAACTAAATGCCTTTTTGGCATATCCTGTGAGTGACAGCTTGTAATTATGCCCTCAAGAATTGTATTACTATACTACTAATTTCTGGGAATGCCCTCAAGAATTGTATTACTATACTGTACTACTAATTTCTGGGGGAATACAGTTTATATTTTGTAAAATATTTCTGTAAATTTCCGCAGGATAGACCGCATTAACATAGGTATAATTATGTGTGTTACCTCTGATTGGGTGTTATATGGAGAGATAAAGGTCAACAAGGAGGAGCCAGTGATCTGTTGCTAATTGTGGTGTGAATGCATCTGCTTATGCAGGTCGTTGGCCTTGACCCTCACACTTGACCAGAACACAGCCAGAAATGTGGTGTCTTTATGGTAGTTGTGTTGTATGTACCTTAAAGTTGCCCATCACCTTGAAATAATTACATCTTAACTGCAGACGACTTGACTGAACTCGCATTCGATTTTTAAATGAAAAATGAATTTCCCTGCAGATCATCGAGGAGGAGTACAACGCCACATGGGTGTACCGGTATGGAAACCCCATCCCCTCAGGAACTCTGACCTCTCTGTGGTCCCTATCTGTGGCCATCTTCTCCGTCGGGGGCATGCTCTCCTCCTCCTGTGTGGGCTTTGTCTCTGAGTGGCTGGGCAGGTAGAGAAACATATTTCATCCAATTGCATGGTATCAATGTTTTTGACAAGCAAAATTAACAAGAACATAGAGAAACATCTCCTAAACCATTTATGTTTGGAATATAATCTACTTAATTTCCAATGGTGTATGCTACAATATCATTCTAAAAATATTGATGAAACCCAGTTTCCTGACGTAACCTGAGCCCACATTTTCCATGGAGTGAAAGAAGAGCTTTTGCAGAAGTGCCCTCAGTAGGTCACAAGGTCTGGGTGGTGGGGGATAGAGAGGTAAGAGTTGGGTAGTGGGTCACAAGGTCTGGGTGTAGGGGGAGTTATTTGGGTTCACTCGGCGAAGTCTGTGAGGTCAAGGTTACTTATATAACTCAGATTCACTTGTATAAAAATGCAGACTAAGGAGCTGCTGGACCTCTTGGTAGGAACATCATAAATGAATTTGAAAAGGATTATTTGTGTGATTGTCTTTGAAGGTATTTCTTGAAATAAAAAAAGGGGGGGAAAACCCGGAAGCTAGAGAATTAGAGAATGAGGTTGCCCTCTAGAGGCTGAAGTATGACAAGCTACTGTATAAGAAAAACAGCAAATAATGGATATAATGTTAAAAAAAAAAAGCGGAGGGAGGGGGACCCAAGGAGTCCGTGGAAGTAAGGTTGTGGATTATATGGCAGTTTAACTTTATGTTTGAATAAAAGATTTTGACATTGCTGTCAGTTAACAAGGTATATTAATAACAATGCTCATTATAGGTTGGCATTCAGAATTAAAATCAGCATAAAACACAACATAAAAAAAGACAGTTATGCATAGCACTAAGCTCTAGTATAAAACAACATTTTGAAGATGACTGATTTGATTGTGATCTTATGAATAACAAACAAATTATTTCTAATGTAACAACAATTCAGAATATTCGATACAAGTCACACACATTTACTTTAGGAAAAGAAGCATAAGAAGGTGACAATCATGCACGTTCCGAGGAGTGTTTATAAAGTGTAATTTGAATGTGAGCGCCTGTGTGTTTTGGCAGGAGGAAAGCCATGCTCATAAATAACCTGCTGGCCTTCATCGGTGGCAGTTTGATGGGCATGTGCAAGCTCTGCCGCTCCTTTGAAATGATGATCCTGGGACGATTTATCATTGGAGCCTACTGTGGTGAGCACTGAGATGCCTATGTAAAACAAATGACCCAAATGGGTGAGGACATGGTCTTCTTGCCAGATATACAACTTTCTGTCTGTTCTCTGATGCTCTCTTTCTTCAGGGTTAGCATCTGGGTTGACTCCGATGTATGTTGGCGAGATTGCTCCCACTAGTCTGAGAGGAGCACTGGGAACGCTGCACCAGCTCGCCATAGTAACTGGTATTCTCATTGCACAGGTAAGACAGTGGACCATGAAAGTTGCTGCAGAAAAAGTTGAGGAACCACTGCATCAAAAAGGTTCACGTGAACCTGAGTTTTCTCTTTTTCCTCCCGATTTTCCCACAGATTCTCGGCCTGGAGTCCTTACTGGGCAGTGAACATCTGTGGCCTGTTCTGTTGGGTCTAACTGTGGTTCCAACTGTTCTTCAGATGGCTCTTCTTCCCTTCTGTCCTGAAAGCCCACGATTCCTCTGTATCATTCGCTGCCAGGATCATCAAGCCAAAAATGGTAAGCATGAGGTTAAAAGTTAGGAGTTACACAAGGCGACGTAATCTCAGCCTTACAACGTCCCACATTTAATCATATGATGGTTTTCAGACAACTAACTACGTTCTTGTGGGGAATAATTCAGATGACAATTGCATCCTAGGGTTAGGGTTAGTATTTCCTCAGGCTAGATTATACTCCAAAGAATGTCCACATCTTCTTCCACCTCCATCAGGTCTGAGGAGGTTAACAGGGAGGCAGGAGGTTGGTGACATGCTGGCTGAGATGAAGGATGAAAAGAGGAAGATGGACATGGAGAGGAAAGTGTCCATCCTGGAGCTCTTTCGCTCTCCGCTCTACCGCCAGCCACTGATGATCTCCATCATGCTGCAGCTGTCGCAGCAGCTCTCAGGGATCAATGCAGTGAGTGCCGATACAGTCATTGTGCAGTATCACGTTGTATTAGTCTGTACTGACTGTGTGTGCTGCCACGGCAGATTTTCTACTACTCCACCAGAATATTCATGACGGCAGGAGTTGCGAGTCCAGTCTACGCCACCATAGGAGCCGGTGTAGTAAACTGTGCCTTCACTGTGGTCTCAGTGAGTTATGACACCAACAAGAACAAGAATTCACTTCACTTCATTTTGCCTTGGCAACTTACTATAAAATCAAACCTTG